TTGTCCCATGAAAACTTCACGCAGAAACTTTATGAATAATGAATGACCCTATCTGGAAACAACCTAGATGTCCTTTCAGTGGGCGAGTGTGAATGCAGCTTTGGTACATTCATGCAGTGGAATATTACTCAGCATTCAAGATGCACAAACTGTTGATACAGGTAGTAACCCAGATAGATCTTGTCAATCATACTGAGTAAAAATAAGCCCAAAACGTTGCACACTCTTGTGGTTCCATTTTTGTATCATTATTAAAATGACAAAATTTTAGAAGTGCAGCACAGAGTAGTGATCTCCCAGGGTTAAGGAAGGGATGGGCACAGGAGGACAGAAGCTTTGACTGTAAAAGGTCACGTGATCCTTAGGGATGGAAATACCCTGTATGGTAATTGTATTAATGGCAATGCCTTTATTGTGATACGGTGCTATACTTTTGCGATGTGTTACTGTATAGAAAAATGGGTCAAAAGGCACATAAAATCCCTCTGTATTGTTACTAATATGAATTTATAATTATCGCAGATTGAATTAAAAATAACAAAAAATAGCCATCATTAAAAAAAAAGTAAAGGTCAATTTTGCTAACCTTGAAAAATCCTAATTTAGAAGGAGAGCCGGACATAGCAAATAATCTTGTTAAAGGAGGACTGTGACAGCTTAGAGGGAAAAATTAATGTTGGCCTAGCTGGGAAGAAAATCAGGGAAGATTTCACAGAATTTATCAATTCATATTCTCTTGGAGAGTCTCGAGTTTCAGGAGTGGAAGGTAGGAAAGTCTTCCAGACTGAGAGAGAATGCGTAAAACGTGTCATGAAGAGCAGTCAGAAGTTGTGGCACGGTGTGTCGAGGTAGACAGTAGGCCATGCTGTGCTAGTCTGGTCCTGATCAAGGAGAACTTTGAATCCTAAGTGGTGAGTTTCACGTGTGAAATTCTGAGTTGGAAATGTCACTGAGGGTATCAGAGAAGTACAGTTTCAGGAGCAGGATGGCACACAAACCTACCTGCTAGTGGGGAGGCCTAGCACTTCTGGCAGTGCAGCAGGCAACAGCATTCTTTGAAATGAGGTGTTCACCTAGGTGAAGAGGAGCATGACCTGGCCTTTGTCTCAGGGATATATCTGGTGGTTGTCTGATACCTGCTTTGAAAAGAGGAGAGGGAAGAGGGAAAAATCCAAAAACAAATCAACAAAATAGGAAACAGTGTGGTCCAGAATTGAAAAAATGGATAATGGAGACATTTCAGAGAACATAGAATCTGTCAGGCTGGGGAGAGAAATTTGAGCTGATTTCGAAGATTCGAGTCCATGTTGCACAGGAAGATGAAGGTGCCGCATCTCAGGAGGTCTCTTCCGGAGGCAGGCACGCAGGAAGATAAACAGTCGTGAGCGGGGAGAGTTTAGCTTGAGACGTGAGGTGTGAGGTGATGCCAGCAGTGTCCACGAGATAGCTGAAAATTTGATTCTGTAGCTCAGGACAAAAAAGTAAAGATGTGGCACTGGAAGTCTGATGAGGTCACGAGTGACAAGAATTTCAGGACAGATGGGAGAATGTCAACATTCAGGAAAAGTATGGGAAGAGAAGAGATCTGAGATGTAGGAGAAAATCCAGAGGCAAATCTCTGATGCCCAGGATCGGGAATCCCACAGAAGAGATTAGACCTAGAAGAGTCCAGGACCACAGAGAGACCCTCCCTGCTCAGGCACGGAGAGGGGAAATCCCGGGCCCCAGGAAGGTCCCACAGGGCCACGGGTGGGAAAAGGGATGACATTTGGTACTGAGGCCAGTTGTTGCCTGGGCGGCTAGGAGCTGGATTCAGGAAGGATTTAGGCCAGGCAGTGTCCAGACAGATGTCACCAGCCTTTTATTTTTCAATGTAGTTTGTACTATTATTATTAAAATGCCTTTCCTCCCATTCCTTTTCTTGCACCTGGGGAACTGTTTTGTAGCATCAGAGCCACACGGAATACTTGCATGGTGAGAAGGCTCTGTACCAGAGAGGAGTGCCTGACGCTCGCTTAGATCATCTCTCGTGTAGCTAGTATTTAAATATGTTTTCTGCTACTGGAAACTCAGTATTGGTGAGTCAGTGAAAATAGGCACTTTAGCTCTGAGCTAGTTCTAAATTTCAAAAGTAGGTTATGGAGTGAGCGTGTGTGTGTGAGTGCGCGCATGTGTGTGAACTTTATAAAAACTGCATTTTGTGTTTTTCAATTGTTGATCAAGCTCTCTCTCCCATGTTCTGATTTTACTGTGAATCAAAGGCTTGTTTCCCAACTTCTGGGAACACTATGCAGTTACAGAATATGAGATTTTAGAGGCCAAAATTAACCTGGTAGAAATTCAAATCCGCCTTTTATCTTTTTGATAAAAGCCTTTGAAATCCTTTTAGTGTGAAGTTATCAGCAAGCTTGATTCTCATGTAACCTCATTACTAACCCAAGGATTATTCAAAATGCATGGCAAACGGTGCTCTGTGGCTAACACTCAGTTTTTATCACTCCTACGGTCCGGTGATAAGCCGCATGTGGTCCACCTAGTAATGCTGGGGAAATTTCGCCTGCTCTCCTGCACACACCCTTGGAGATCACAGATCACAATGCATATCAAAGGCCCTCAGAAAATAGGCACTGAAAAAATTAGTTCAACTCTATTTGAGCGTTCCCCAAACTTATTTACGTACACAACCTTTTTCTGCATTAACATTTCATAACTCACCTAGGGGTTCTGTAAGAGAAGAAGTGGAATGGATATTTTTGAGGGGTTGATGCTTCAGAATTGAGGTCTCTACTGCTGCACGTAAAGGCAGCATTCTCAATCTATGTGAATCGGACTTGGTGAAAAAAGAAAAAAAGTTCTGACTCCTAATCTTCACTGACTTCCCTTCTCCCCCTCGAGTGGAAAGCATTGGCTTGCTGGGTACTTAGGATTTACACATTTTCTGGAAAAAATAATTTCACAAGTTGTTGCCACTACTTTTATTCAATGGACTAAGCTCCCATTGATAAATTAGTAAGGGAACATGTTACGGAAAGAAAAGTATGAATAAAACGTACTAATATCAAGTTCACCGATTGTTATTTTAAGACTTACTTAAAATAATTCATTGCTTGGGGGACAGGCCTAATTTCGCAAACTGAAACCTTGTGGTGATTTACTTATTCCATAGGAGTATGATCTTATCTGCTCAGATTTACATTTGGAGCAATAAACCTCTGGCAGCTGCTCCTAGTTGCCTGAGTGGAGAGGAGACAGGAGATAAGAACATTCCTGCTTTTATTGCCTTCTAGAGCATTTGAAGTTGCGGTGGGGGTGGGGCAGGTGTCTCCGTTGTGGCCATAGCTGTCCGCAAGTGTGCGAAAGAAGTAAAGTGGCCCTCTTCGGCGATGTGGTGAATCTTCCCGACCACTGGCCTCCGGCTGTCAAAACCTGCCAGAGCCCTTAAAAGAAGAGAACTGACTTCTCTTCTTAAGGCTATTACTCCAACTTGAAAATAGTCTAGGACTTTGGGAGAATCATTGCCAGGTGTAAAACGTTCAACTCTTCACTCCCAGAATGACCTTGCTTAGCCTACTCCCAGCGAGTTCCCCGGAACCCTGAGTGAGGCGCTGGAGGCTGCCTTGACCCAATTCCCAGGAACAGAATTCCAGCCACATGCAGCGTGGAGACAGCGTGAAGTGGAGGTGTGGACCCCGCTCTGCCCAGGCACACCCACCACAGCCTAAGCCCTCGGAGGTGCTGCCCTGAGCCTCGGGCAGAGGCCCGTCGGGGCCCGTCAGGTGCAGGTGTCTGTGAAGTCCACCAAACCCTGAGTGTTATGAGGTGTGTCAGTGTGGTCCTTATTAGCTCTTTCTCAGGACCTAAAATTCTTAAACTTGCTTCTTTGAACACTAGTACTCTGGTTAAAAACAGCCCAAATCACGACAGAATCTGGTAGAAGGAGTCTTTATTGCCTAATAAATAATATCACAGGAGGTCATAATTCCATATTAGCCACTAAATATCCAAAATGTATAAAGCATGCAAAGTTGGGTCCAAGATATGGATGAAAAATAGCTCAATGACGTTTCTAAAGAATTATTCATTTTCTTTTTTAATGTGAAAATGGAATAAGAACATTCTCCTAAGTCCCAGGCTTAGAGAGCTGAGTGCTGCCTGGAGGCCTTCAAGCATTACATTGACAAAGCCATTTTTCTTAAGTTTTTTAATTACTGCTAAAACATTTCTCTACTTTGGAACACGTTGAAAGCTTTGAAAGTCCTAAGACATGGAAGAATCTCTGCTAACCCCGACAGTGGCCACCATCGGCCACCCCGGGAAGACATGGAAATCGTGCGAAGAGAGACAGAGCTCCGCAGCTTTGGAGCACCTGCCCTGCTGGTGAGGGCTTCTTCCCAGAGGCAGCCTAGGATCCAGCTGTGCTCGTTGGCAGGAAGTTCTTTTTTTTGGATAGTGCTATCTCCTCCGTGTAAAATGAATCCATTTCAGCCCTTGTGTGGGAATCCCGATCACACACACACACACACACACACACACACATGCACGCACGCACGCACACACGCACACACACACACGCACACCAGCCTTTGTTATCTGCCTGTTTTGCTTTTAGCCCTGTGTTCTCTGAACCTCTTCACCCTGCCTTTTTCCTGAAAGAAACCATGGAAGTTCACCTCCCAAGTCAACCCTCTAGACCACTCGTCCGCCACAAATAAAAATCAGGACAATGGCAAAATGTGTGCAAAACCAAAGAGTGATGTCACTGTATCTTACTGTACAGGGGTCACAAAGGCCGGAGAGACCACTGTTCTCTGGCAGGCTGGCCTACGGCAAAGTGCGACTTTCTGGGGAGATTTTTGGGGGGACGTGTGCCTGTGGCCCTGTGCCTCCCGTGTGCTGTTAGAACTTTGCGGGTATTGTGTCCACACTCCTGTCGTGTTCCTTCCAGGCAAGCCAGCCTCGCATTTCCCACCTCGATTAAGGCGTATTTTCTCTGTTGACAGAGACCCGCTATTGCTACACTCAGCACACAATGGAAGTCACCGGAAACAGCATCTCTGTCACCAAACGCTGTGTCCCGCTGGAAGAATGCTTGTCCACTGGCTGCAGAGACTCAGAGCACGAAGGCCACAAGGTCTGGGCAACCAAGCAAGTGACAGTGCAGTCACCCTCGCTCCGTCAGGAGCAGATCCTCACCCCACGCCCGTATAGGCCGCCTTTTCACACTGCTGTGAAAAGACGCTTCCTTTCTTGTTTTCTCTAAGAGAATGGAAGTCTATGTGAGGGCGTAGAACAACCAGCACAAATCCTATAAGCACATACCGAGAGGGTATTAAGATGATCACAAGTACTGTGCTTTACTCAGAAGGGAGAGGGACAGTGGCGACTTCCGCCCATGATGGGAAACACCGCAGAAGCACCAGCAGTCCCTCCGCCAAGGAGGACTGCGGCAGATCACCATGACAGCTGTAAAGGGAGGGCTCAGCGCGTCGCTGGGACGCCATCTAGGGAATGTTGCCACTGGCTCCTGAAGCGTGTCAGAGCCGGTGAGACACCTGTCTTCCTGTGGATTTGGTCCTGTCAAATGTCACCTAGTGCCCGTTGAAAGAAGCACTCCTTGTAAAATGAACTTGAGGGGCCCTCTTGGAGGAGAGTAGAACAACCGAGAGCAAGGCAGCCTGACCCACGGGAGATGGAGTGGCGAGTGCCTACCCAGCCTCTGCGGCCATGGCTCCGCGCGGGTGATGCGTCAGGCCTTAGTGTTTATCTGGAACTTGCCCTCTTGTCAGGGGGCTTTCCTGGCGGCTTAGGGGAATGTTCTTCCTCCCCGCTCTGGGATAAAGCTGTCAGAATGGGCTTCTGTCTCTTAAAGAGGCGAGCCTATAATCCTCACGCTCTGGGAGGCTGAGATTAGAAATTCAAGCCCCGCTGAGGCAATTCAGTGACTTAGGGAGATCCTATCTCAAAAACAAGAAAAGGGCCGGGTGTGTAGCTCAGTGCAAAGACCCTGGGTTCAGTCTCTGGTACACTGTTTCCAAAAAAGGCATCTAACTTTTAAGCAACTTTTCAAATATACTAAGATTAAATGTTAGTATACAACCTGCCTGCTTGTTCCTGGTTTGAAATATAAGTGGCAAAACCAAGGTCATTACCTGTCCCCTCCAAAAACACAGGGCTGGGCCTACAGGCATGACTGTGTTGTCTTACCGAGGAGAGTATTTCGGATTAGGAAGTTGTATCCTGGGTTCACATCATAGATCTCCTAAGTGGCAAGGTCAGAATTCGAACTCAGGTCTCATCTCCAGGCTTCCCTCTCAGCCTTGTATTGTCTTCCCATCCAAGTGCAACCCGAGACTCGAGTCTGCAGGACGTGGCTGTCAGGCTGTTACCCACCCTGTGACAGTCAGCGGGGCTCTTATAAACGATTCTAACCTCTAAGTCTGGGGCAGGGTTTGAGATTGTGCATTTCTAGTGAGATTCCAGCTAACTCTGAAGCTGCAGTCTGTGCCTTGCGTAGTCCCAGCCCAAAATAATTTCTGTCAGTAACTCTAGGTTTATTTCTATCTTATGGTCAGGCACGAAGCAGTAGAAAATGGGATTCAGTGCATAAATGAGAACCCTTCAAACATTAGCTCACCCGTGAGAAGAGGGATAGTTATGCTGGTAGTGATAATGAAATAAAATATTCGAGTTGAAATGACGTGGGTTGTTGCCATTTCATTTTTACTGTCAAGACTTGGCGGAGAGCATTTGCCCACGTGTGAGAAAGGGCCTGTCTGACAGAGCAAGGGCAGAACCTCCACTTCACAAGGAGCCCTGAGACCTTGGAGGGACGCGAAGCTTTAGGAGAGCCCTATGGTAGGGTATCAGAAACGGAATGCTAGTTCCTTGGAATGTATCTTGGGGAATTTTCATTATGAGCCTGCTGCTTCTGGATAGACTACCACCCTTTCTAAATGTAGGGTCAGTGTTTCCCTTGCAGAGCAGATCATTTTCCCTTCGGTCTTGCCATGAGGGAGACAGATCCTACAAACCCATCCCCAGCTTCCAGGACCTGCTGGCTTCTCATCACCCCTTTTCTGCCCTTCTTTCAGGTCTGCACTTCCTGCTGCGAAGGAAACATCTGTAACTTGCCACTTCCTCGAAATGAAACTGATGCCACATTTGCCACGACGTCCCCTATAAATCAGACCCGTGGACGCCAGCACTGCCTGTCGGTGATCGTCTCCTGCCTGTGGCTGTGGTTGGGACTCACGTTATAGCAGTGCTGTATGCAGCAGCGGTCCTTGGGACCTTGGGGGTCCACCGTCATGCATGAGTCACTGGCCTGACAGTAGTTACACATGTGAGAATGCTGCAGTCACGGACGTCATCACAGCCAGGCATGACCATTACCATGAAGAACAAGCGTTGTTTCAGTGTTGTCATTTGGAGTCCAAACAAGACCCCATCAAAGCTAGCCTGCCCACAGGGGGGACCCTGAGTTCGGTTCCGCAGACCTTTGTTTTCACTCCACAAACTAGTTACTGTGATCTGAGGTTGTTGATTTAGAGTTCATGCATGAGCTGCAGAGGTCCTGGGATCCTTTGAGATGTTAGAAATATGTTATATGGACACATACAGATTTTTTTTCAGGAGAAAGATAAAGAACCACTGGTCTAATTATAATGGTTTATTCCCTTATAGCTTTAGGATTTTAAAATTTCAGACCCCCAAAGGAGTGGACTATTTCCTTTGAGATCCTGGAGGAGTCCTTGGAAGAGTAGTAAGCAATTTGCTCAATTTAATTTCCCTAGCCGTCTTTCATCCCTAAAAATCGTATTTTCTGTGCTCCTGGAAGATTAAAACGGCAGTGGTAAAATTTTGGTGTATTTGTAGGGGGAGCTAGAGAAGGATTTTCCCCAATTCAACAAAAAGGACATCCATGAAGTAGCTGTGTTTGGCCCTTCATGTACTGAGGAGATTGGCTTTGACACGGCCTAACGGTGCTGTAGGAGCCTTCATTCCACCTGGGCCCTTGGTGTCCAAAGAGTCCCAGACACCAGGGGGTTCTTTCCTCCAGGCACTGGGTTCTATTCCAGCATGACTAAGGGAGACAGAGGCTTCTGGAATGAACGGACAGTTGTGGACGTTTGTCCAAGTTCACTTTGAGGGTGCAGAAGTGGTGCGGCCAGCTTCCTCCCCCGTCTCCAGTGCTCACTGTCAAAGAGTCCTCGCCTCTCAAATTCCCAGTGACTGTAGGGAGAGAGCTCTGCATTAAATTGTCTCTAGATCAGTAGAGAAATACAGCAGAAGAGTTGGATGGGAAAAAGTGTTTGTAAGACAAGTAAGGAAACCCAATGGGACGTTTTTATTTCTTTTAGATATTGCTTTGAACTACTGGATAAATTCTTCACCTCCCACCTATATTTTGGGCACTCAAAGTTATTTTTATTCTTCCTTGTAAATCCTTTAAACAATATTTATTTTTGTACGGCATAACTGGAAACTAAAATATAGTCTAAATATTCTTTATTCTAAAAAAATGATCAAATTAGAAAGCTTATTTTTCCACAGTGGTAGAGGTAGAGCTTGTAATATATGTTCGTGGAAAGGTATCTGTGACACCAGTGTTGAAAAAAGTTATTGTGAGCAAGAGTAATGTGTTTGCCTCCAGGATTTGGCCCATGGTTTCCCCGGTGGTATTGTTTCAGAAGTAGTCAAGTGGAGACCATCACGGGTCAGAATTTCTGTGCAGGGTTAAGAGGTGGGTCTCAGTGGACCCATGACTGAGAAAGAGAACGAGGTTGTGAGAAGCCATCTGCCCTGCAGAGGAAACTGTCCCTGGCTCATAAAATGAGATCCCTTCAGGGACCAAATAGGAAGAAGTATCAGTCACTCTGATTCAGAGTAATCTAGACTGTGTTACATCGCCTTAATTTATAGTTTGGTAGGCTTATTAACTTGCTACTTACAATTAGGGTTGGGAGAGTACAGGGAGAAAAACCAAGACGTTTATTAAGCACCTCCTATGTGCCAGGCACTCTGCTAAGCACTTTACATAGTTAGGTCATCTAATCTCTACAGGAACTCTATAAGGAATATTACTAGTATTTACACTTCACAAATGAAGGTGCTGAGGCTCAAAGAAGCTCAATAAGTGAAGCCCTTTCCTTCAGATGCAGGTTTGTGAGATGAAGCAGGATTGGAAAGGGAAGTGGAATTATCTTCATTATCTTCCTAGGAAAACTTCCAGGCCTCACTTCATGGGAATTTGTTCACCTAATCATGTGGGGTTTATCTCATCCTGCTTTTGCGGGATGCCGTTTGCATGTGTCCCCAGATGATGTCTTTTCTTTGGAAAGTAAGGGTATAGCGTCCTTATTCCTCCCTCTTGCTAAAAGAGGAGACAGTTGATACTGCATCAAAAGATGCTAGAAGACGAGAACCTGATGTACATATACCCACGTACATTTTTGTGCATGGTCACGTTCCACTGACATTCTCTACGTCCTGCATGCAATTCTGAATAGGAGAGAAGGTGACCACGTCCAAGCCTCCCTGGTGGGGGGTGGGCTCAGGACCACGATGGTGCAGCTTCACCCACTACCCAGGGGGCTGCATGCGTCCTGTACACCTCTCAAAATGGTGGTTTTTTAAAAAAAATTCTCTCGAAAAGAAATGGTTTGCTCACCATCCCTGGCCTCAAGGAGCCAAGGAGGGGCCATTCGGGTAAAAGATTCAGGGCTGCTCAGCCGGCTGACTTTTCCACCACGTTAAACTTTCCTTTAAGTCTCACCATGGGTGACAGTTTGAAGTGCAAAGAGCCATGATGTGTATATTAACCTATGTGCCACATATTTATTTTAGACCCCCCTCAACATTCATGTCAATATGACATTAATGTCTAAATATTGTAAATATTGTACATTTTGTAAATCAATTAATAAAGATTTTAAGTGTACTCACCGGCTCCTTCCTGCAAATGCATGTGGACATCAGTGACTAGGACACTGAGGTTCTGTACCAAGCACTGGGCCTCCCTTCCTGGAGCTTTGTTCTCAGTTGTACAGACAGGAAATACATGCATGAAAAGATACAAGACAATTCACCCATCCCAAATGATTCATACAGGCCATAAGTGCTGCAGACAAAGAAGACCAAAGAAGAAAAGGTTATCAAGCTTCAGTCAAGCCTACAGTTCCCCTTGAGCATTTCATTGTTAAATCAGGAAATATAAAGATGTTATGTGATCCTATGTCTACACATAGGTATTTCTTTATTTCTATTTATTTATTTAGTCATTCATTCATTTCTACATTCATTCTTTGGTGGTGCTAGGTAGCGAATCCAGGGCCTCAGGCATGCTGGGCAAGTGCTTTCTCACTGAACTAAGAGTCACCAGTAAATCTTATTTTTAATATTATTCTATTCTTGGTGTCAACTGTGTGAATGATGATAAAACAAAAAGGCCTGGAGAATTTCTCCAGCAACTAGAAACAAAAATTGGAATAGTACATGTCATTTTTATCTATATAAGACACTTATTTTTCTTAGTAATATGATGGATTGAAAGCAAGCTTGATAAATTTCAGTTTATTTGTGACACCTGGCTATTTTTTTGTTTGTTTGTTTGTTTGTGTTTTTGGTTTGTAAACCAAACTGGGAATTGGACTCATGACCTTTCGCTTGCCAGACAGGTGCTGAGCCACTGAGCTAAATCCCCAGCCCCCTCCTGGCTATTCTTTAATGCCCTATAATTTGAAGTTTCCAGGGAAAAAATATTTTTCCCAAAGTTAGAGGCTGATAATAATTTCTCAGAGTCCTCCTTTCTGTTCTCACAGCAACCCTGATGTTTGTGTATGATTTATCATTAAACAGTCACATAATCCATCACTTCAGTTGGTCACCAAGACTCCATCCACAGTTTTGGTAGCTGTAGCCTTGGAGTGGTTAAAGGAGGTCCCACTGGGGCTTTATACTAAAAGTCTATGACTCCTGATCCACAGCTCTCTCCCCACACACATTTGTCATCCAGATGACATACATGATGGCTCCAACCTTTTCTGGCATTTTTACTAAAAAGTCATTTCTCAGGCAATAAAGTTAGAGGTGAGTAGGACTTACCAAATCTCTAATTTACCCCCTTTATTTTATACAGGAGGGAAAAGAATCCCAGAGAATTCGGAGCAATTCCCTCTGTGAACATTACATTACTGTTGTCAGAAAAAATAGATCACATCAAAATGGCCCTTCTTTGATGTCCAGAGTAAAGAAGACCTGTGGGTGACGGGATATAATTTCTGGGTGCCCTTTCCTCACCCTCCCCCGTAGTATTGTGCAGTGGGATGAGGACCATCATGGTAGCAAAGGGAAGAGAAGTAAAAGCTACAGAGAGCAAACTTTTGCCTAGAAAGCAAGCTAGCTCGATGGGAAAAAAATCGCTCACTCTAACTCATGATAAAACATTCTGGAAAATAATCATTTTCAGAATCATGGCCTTAAAAAAGCAGAACAATTTGTTTAAATTAGAGAGCATCAGTTATTCAAACACACTTTTCTTGGGACGATTGCATGGCAAGGTCAGAAACTGACCCTAAGCTCTGTTATCCTGCATCCAGAGTTCAGGTGGCCCCCGAGTCCCCCGGAAGAGGTGACAGGGTTCAGGTCAGAGTGGGGAAAGTGTGTCTAAAGCAACTCCGTCGAGTCTGGGAAGTGAGCAAAGTACCATCAGAATGCAGCAAAGATGCAAAGCATGGCCTAAAAATAAGTCACACCCTCAATGAATCCATTCATCTCTGAGAAGCATTCAAAGTCAACTCACTATGTCATCTACAGAGCAGCGTGACTCTTGGGTCCGTGGTGTCTGCAGCAGTCTGAGCACATCTGTCAGGCTTCTCACTGCGGCTCACTGGGCGGAGGCCCCTGGTGCAGCTTCACAGCTGCCTGCTGGCTAGTCTTGGGCCCCACCCAGCCTCTGCCGGCGCTGAACCAGGGCTGTGCGCAACCTGAGACCCGCATCACAGTGATGTGAGAAGACAAGCTGTCTGAGGAGAGGGATTAGGGCTGAGTTGTTCTGCACAGAGGTGCTTTGGGTGAGAGGAACTGAGAAGACCTCGGTGTTGGGAGAGGACCCTTTGGAGCTCATTCATGACTCATTCCGCCTCGGCTCTGGCACACGTCAGCACTGGGATTATTCCTACCTTCAAAGCCTTAAATCCTTACAGAGCTGGGCCCATCCCTGATTTACTGTGTTTAACTAACTGATGACCATGCATATGTTTTGCAACCATCCTGCATACACAGGGTACTGGGTAGAGACACACCCTTTTCAATTTGAAGCTGCCTGAGAACTGCATGAAATGTGCAATCAGACCTCCCGTGAATTCTCTTCCTTCAAGGAAAGACTGACAAAGCACTGAAAGGCCCATTGGGATACAGTATTTGGGACACAAGCTTGAGTAGTGTGTTAGCTGAGGCTATGGTTGAAGTTGATGAGAACAGCTTCATGTTAGAGGTAAGAGAAGACTCCATAGGGTGAACACATTTAGGCCAAGACATGAAAAATGAGACGTGTTAGTTAAGAGAGTGAGCTTGTAGATCAGGCAGAGGAAAGTTCATGGAAATTGAGTTTTAGGCAAGCTATAAGGTCAGTCTTGGGAGAAGATGGCAATTGACTAAGTAAATACACTTGAAAATAAAGCAATCCAAAGTTTATTTTTCTAGACCGGTCTTCACTAAGGTTGCTTCTGTAATTACAGATGTTCGACCCCAGTGGTTGTTTATCCCTTCATGCCTGTCAGCACGTGGTCACCCAGTGCAGTTAGGGGACTAGAGCTGGAGGGAGCTTTAAAAGAGATGTTCTAAACAGACCCAGACAAAATGGATTAGCTGCCTTACAGCCACCTTCATATTAAAGTGGGACAGTGAGGGCTTCTTTGTACTCACCTCGAGAATCCCAGGATACAGAGGCAGCCTACTAGAAATTGGGCTTGCACAAAGGGTCCCCCATTCCCCTACTCAGTGGTTCTGTCTACCAAACAAACATGGAAGACAAACACTGCCACAGAGTCTCAGAGGAAAGGGAACTCCCTCTTGGGTCAGTGGAAGTGACCATTTCACCCGTCGTGGGAAATGCTGCTTTTGAGCATGACCCTGGATACTTTCACTTGAAGATGTCTTAGCCTGGTACTGAGGCACTTTATTTCCAGTACTTATCACACAGAACGATAAGGTAGAAAGAACAAGGTTACCAGTGGAAGGCCCAGGAGAGCAGCTGCACAAAAGGCTAGAGCACAGGACTTCTGCAGAAGGCTGTGGTGGAGAGAAGCAAACACTCCTCTCCTAGTTGTGCACCTTCATCTTAAACCAGGGATTTGCTATCCTGAGCCCAAACCCCAGTGTGCCCATGGGCCCTGGAGGCTTAAGATGTGGATCTCAATGCAGTCTACACATCTAAATCACTTGGGAGCTCCCCAAAATAATAATGGCCAGGCCCCGTGTCTAGTGATTCTGAGTTGTTCTGGGGAGTTTTCAAACATCGGGCGGTTTGAAAGCTCCTTGTAACTCTATTGGGCAGCCTTTGGTCAGAAAGTACAAAGCGTTAACTAGCCATTGGGGGTGAGCTATCATAACAGCAGAAGCAGCTCCAGTGAAACTGAGACACCCAATTGTAAGGTATATTCGTGTCCACTGGGAACGCGGCCTGGAATACAGTAGTGGACCATAACCATTTGTTACAAATAAGCATACAAAGTGATTTTTTAAAAAGGTGAAGGGACCATCTCCAAGCATCAAATTAGTGACGGAGTAAGAGTTAAAAGAGAGATTATTCTTTTGCTAGTTCTGGCCTATTTTGGACGTATTTTCATGTATTAAACTTACACCAAAAATTTATAATATCAAATGCTGCAAAACCAGCGTCTCTTCCTGCTTGCTGCATAAATTGTTAAAGCTCTTTTGCAGAGCAATTTGGCTGAATGTTCAAGGCTATGGGAAGGGATATATCCTGACCCAATAATCCTACTTCTGTAAATGGCCTGAAATATAGAAACACTGCTACAAACAAATTTGACCCTTGCAGCGTTATTTGTAATTAAAAAAAAAAAATCAGGTCTCTGTGTGTTGGAGTAGGGGAATAGGTAAGTCAATAACTGCACATCCATGTGGTGTGCTGTGATCAGAAATGACTGCTCTAAAGACATTTTCAGTGTCAAACGAAGTAGCAGCACTCACACTGTCTAGTCAGTGGGTCATCCTCTCCCAGAAGCAGACATGCTTGTAGAAAATAAACCAAAATGCTTTCCTTGTTTATATTATGGTAGTAACTTTTTATTTTCCTTTAAAAAATATATTCCAATTTTAATGCAGTGTGGTTATATTACTTTTGTAATGAAAAGCATAAATATAATACACAGTTAGGACCACAGAAGTTAATGGCTGTGACGACTCTGGAGGCTCCTCCTCAGTGTACATGTTAACCCAGGGCAGGCCTCTGACTGTCAGAACCTCAAAGGTCTAAGCCCCGACACACTGTGGTCCCTTGGGAGCTTTAGATAGTACCGATGCCTGGGTCCCACCCCCAGAACTTCAGATTATACTGAAGATTGTGGATTATACCTCCATATTAGAAAATACGGGGGTCATGATTTTTTAAAAATCCTCTCTCCTTATCTCTGTTTTCTCTGTTCTCTCTCCCTCCCTCCCTCTCCCTCTCTGTCTCTCCCTGCCCCCTCTGTCTCCCTCTCTTTCTCTCTTTCCTTTGGTAATGGATATTGAATCCGTGGCCACTCTACCACTGAGCTACACCTCAGCCCATTTTTATTTTTTATTTTGAGATGGAGACTTACTAAATTGCCCAACTGGGACTCCAATTTGTGATCCTCTTGCCTCAGCCTCCCTCAGGGCTGGATTATAGGCGTGCTCTGCCACTCCTAGCTAAAATTCTTTCTTTTAAAATGACTT